AGGTAGCGGCTATTTTTTCCGTGTTACTAAAAAGTGCTTTTGCACCGTGAAAGCTTCGCAATCTTGTGAATAGTCGAGTATTGAACTTAGCGTCCATAAAAACTCTATTACACAAGTTTTCACATTTTTTTTTGAAAAACTTTGAAACGGCAGCTTTTACACATTGACACCATATGTTTCAAGTTTCTACCGTAATCCTACAGTAATGAAGAGAGATGGGTGATTCGTTCTATACTGCAAATCTAAGTTGAAGCCAGCTCTACAAAACGGTACCTGAAACAAGGCAAAAGACTTCTTGGGAAAAGAGATATTAACGATCAAACAGTGTATACATACTTTACGGACACCCTGTATATTAGGTTGGTCCGAAAGTTCTGTCCCACCATTTTCAAAAAATCATAACTTCCTCCTATCATGATGTTTCTGCATGGTTAAAACCTTTTTGAAAAGAGCAATTCATGCACTTTCTAAAAGTCTCTTGGCTGCTACTAATAAGCTCGCAATGCAGAGATAAAATTGGAAAAAGGAAATTACTTCAAGTTCGGAATTTTTAAGCAGGCCCGTTAAAAAATCCAAAACCGTGCCATAAAATCCAAAACAACTATTATCTTAGGTTCTCTAATCTCCTCTTTCTATATGAGCAGAACTCGCGCTAATCGAGCCCTTTTTAGAAAGGTTATGATTTTCGAGAAAAAATGCCAAAAAATCAATTCCTTGAGAAAATTGATTTTGGCATTTTTTTCAAAAAATCATTACTTTTGAAATAACAGCTCGATCAGCGCGAATTTTGCTCAGCTGCAAAAAGGGGTCAAAAAGTCTAGGACACAGACTGTTTTGGATTTTATGGCACAGTTTTGGATTTTTTAACGGGCTTGCTTAAAAATTCCGAACTTGAAGTGATTTCTTTTTCCCAATTTTAACTTTGCTGTTAGAGGTTGGTAGATAGCAGCCAAGGTAGTTTTAGAAAGTGCATGAAATGCTCTTTCCAAAAAGTTTTATCCATGCAGAAACATCATGATAGGAGGAAGTTATGATTTTTTGAAAATGGTGGGACAGAACTTTCGGACCAATATACAGGGTGTCCCAAAAAAATGTTTTGAACGTTTGATCGTTAATATCTCTCTTCCCAAGAAGTCTTTTGCCTTGCTTCAGGTACCGTTTTGTAGAGCTGGCTTCAACTTAGATTTGCATTATAAAACGAATCACCCACCTCTCTTCATTACTGTAGGATTACGGTAGAAACTTTAAAGAGGGGTAAAGTTCCCAACTTGTTATGATGCTTCATTGAAGAGCTATGCCAGGTAAGAGGTAGCGGCCATTTTTTCAATGTTCTTAAAAAGTGCGATTAAACCGTTTAGAAAGCTTTGTAATCCTGTGAATAGTTTAGCATTGAACTCAGCGTCCATAAAAACCCTATTACACATGTTTTCACACTATTTTGAAAATTTTTGAAACGGCAGCTTTTTCTATATTGACACCATATGTTTCAAGTTTCTACCGTAATCCTACAGTAATGAAGAGAGATGGGTGACTCTTTTTATAATGCAAATCTAAGTTGAAGCCAGCTCTACAAAACGTTACCTGAGGCAAGGCAAAAGACATCTTGGGAAGAGAGATATTAACGATCAAACGTTCGAAACGTTTTTTGGGACACCCTGTATATAAATCAGTGGCGTACCCAGGTAGTTCATCCATAACATATAAAAAAGGGAGGCTCACATTGTAGGTGACCAATGACCCGGGCTGGACCGGAAAAGCCAACCAGTGGCTTATTATAACGGGTCTAAGGGTGTTTACGAGTTTTTAAGTGTGTGTCTGTCTGTCTGTAACGAAATTCGCAGCGAGACAAGGTGTCAAGCCGCAACTTTTTGCACAGCACACTTGCCAGCATCCAGATTCAACATGCAAAAGCACGAGCGGATTCACTGATTGTATCTCCCAAAAAGTGCACCTCAAATGGATCCACTCAATTTCTGGTGCGCGAAATTGGGTCTTATCATCTATTTTCTCAGAGATGTGGTCAGGTTTGGCAAGTTGATGTGCAAGCCATATAGTTTATCCCAAAAAGCGACCAAAAATCTGTCACTCTACAAACGGCACCAAAACAAATTAGTTGTGTGAATGGCGGTTTTGCCACGGTTTTACATGATCATTTTAGAAAATTTTTGCATAGGGATGTAGGTCACGATGAATATTTCCTTTGTGAGGACTATTAGGTCATGAAAAAATTTAAAAGTGTTCTAATCTTGGATTTGTTCTCCATCTTCTAAAGTTTCATACACACAAAATACCGATCTCACACGATTTCGGAACGAAAAGTTGTTTACGATTTATCCATGAAGATAGACATTGCGCGGTAAGTTCCGATGTTATGTTATGCGAAAGTGCGTGAGGCATACAGATAGGAAAACCAGTGCGAGCCTCTGCGAAGCAGAGGTGCCGCACTGATAGCTAGATAACACACCGATTCTTGTGAATCTTCAACTCCTCCAAAGCGAATAGCTCCTTTGTTCTCTAGGTCTTCTTCATCGGTATCTTCTGCAGACCACAAGGGGTTAGTGTCGGAGCTTTCCATAGCATCGCATTCATCACTTTCTACCTCGAGGCTACCGTAAGCTGCTTCACGTAGTTTGAGGTAAAGTGGTCTATGATTTTCTGCTCCTTCCTGTTGGGAATGCGCGTCACATCACGGACCGAACTTCTCCACTAGATGCAAAATCACACTTTCGGACAAAACATTTTGCGATTACAGGTAGTTGGTTGGTGATACTGCTTGTTAGAGTATCAATTTGTGGGTCAAAAAGTGCAACTCATTCGTCGCCTTGTGCTTGACTCACTGTTGAGGCTTGTTTGTTTTGTTAAATTTACTCGAATTATGATTAACAGATACATTTTAGGCAAAGATTACCTATTTTTCTGAATTTTCTATATTTTCTGAAGAGGGAGGGCATGCATTTTCCTCAAGGATGCCTAACACTTGAAAAGAAGATTTATTGAGGCAATGCAAAACTAAAAAACACAAAAGAATTTGAACCTACACCTGCATCAGCTTATGAGGCTATCGCTCTAACCACTACACCAGAGCCTACTAGAGGTATTGGCATTCCGATCTTATTTCCCTCGGGCGGCCAGAGTTGGCGCGAAAATCCTCCCTAACTTCTTCCAGGAAAAGTTCAGCAGAAACGGAAGTCAGATTTGGAATCAGCGTTTCAAGACAAGTATAATGGTATACATCCCATCTCAAAAGGCCACGGACACTAAGTATCGTTCCCTTGTGAGACCAGGGTCAAGCGTGTGATGCGACTGTCGCAACAGGGGGTCGTAAAGGCGGCCTACGGTGAGGGGGGGGGGGTCGTAAGAGGGGGTAGTTTGGATAAAAAACCGTACGATTGAAAGCAAATCAAATAGCAAGTTATTTTTACATGTTCTTAACAATAATGGAATGCCGTATACCAATGTATCAAATATAAACGAGTGAACAATAATTTGAAAACATTTGCAAGCGTAGAAAATCGCTTCATTTGCTGCACTTTTGAAAGATTATGACTTATCGTTAGCTCTTTTTTTTCTATGGGAATCGCTATTTCTCCCGCAAAATAGTCTCAAACGGGAATCGAACCCTGCTGGCATGACTAAAATCCAAAAAATAAACACTTTCAGAAGCTCAAATGCTACTAAAGGCATGTATGTGTGATAAAGATGTTGGATGTATCGATTGGTGTAGACATCCTGCTTCCAAAGGCTCACTGAAGACTCTCACACTCGACAAAAGCGCACATATAGATCAACGATGACAATCAATAATTCGTAAGTCTTTTTGTAATGCCATTTATGCGGCCCTTACAATTTATATGTACTTTAGATAAGCTCTGCTACTGCTGTGCGAAATCTGGTGTTATTTTATAAACTGCGAATTTTCTTATGATTTTATGTATGGTAGCAAAAAATGAGAAAAGGGGGGTCGTATCTGCGCCTGATCTAAATTTCTCTGGAGCTATTGAAGCTTGTTAGCTGCAAACTTGCTGTAATACGAGGCCATCCCTCTAGTTTTTATCAAAAGCATTTTAGGCTGTTTTATAACTTTTCTGGTAAGTTACAAAATTTTAAGCTCAAAAATCCCAGTTTTTGCTTTTTAGGATCGCATCTAAATTTGCTAGAGCCTGATCTAAATTTTTTCGAGCCCATTGCTCCTCAAGGGCTGAAACTTTTTTTATGAATAGTCTGGGCACTATGCTACAGAACCCGTTCTTTGCAGCCTCTCAGTCTTTTCCTGGCCTTAGTTACGAATTTTCAAACTACCGTGCTCATGCATGTTTTTGACGTCGTTCTGGACGGCGCTAAAGCAGTTTTCTTCGCAGGAAAAACTGTGTAAGAGGTAAAAACTGAGCTTCTTAGTCGAAAACATCTTTTGTAGTTCAAGAATGTCATTTTGTTCTCCGTGTAAAAATTTGTGTCGCATACGGGAATCGAATTTGCTGGCCTAAAAATTCAAAAGTAAACTTGCAGAATCTCAAACATTATTGAAGGTGTGTATATGTGCGAGAGATGCGGGCGCACCCACTGGCCTAGAAATTCTGCTTCCGAAACCTCACTAAAGTTCTCACGCAGGTGTTTTTGAGATTGACATTCGTTTATGCAGGTTATCGCGAGAAATGTGGGCAGGGAAGGTAAGGGGGATGGATGGAGGCGGGGGAGGGAGGAGGGGGGGGGGGATCGTACGGATGGGTACCTTCAAGGGGAGGGGGTCGTAAATGAGGGTCCAGGATCGCATCAACACGCTTGACCCTGTATGAGACCCATCCATGTGTCGCTGTACTGAATCTTCCCAAACATGCCATGTAACTCTTGCGTGTCTTATTCAAGGTCTTGCTTTACTCACCTTTTTTGAAGTTTTCTACGAAAGAACGTATGATCGCTGCTACAGTTTATTTCAATATTCTCTTACAACGGCCATGAACGACGTATCATCTTTACGAGCACTATTACCAAATGTAAAATTCAGGCGCCCAAGTCTGCGCCATAAGAATGGTCATTCCCTTACTTGTTTACCACACATTGCTTCATACGGGACTGTGCTTGTCGGATGCTGAAATGGATTTGCTCTTCGTACATGTAGTAAGTACAGGCAATGCGTTTGTTATAATATTGAATTGGAATATTCCCAGATATGGAGGCATGGGGATAGATCACCATTGAGAACATTTCCATCAGATCCTATACAAGAAGATTTTTGGAAGTTTGGAGGAGGAGGTTTTGGAGAGCTTTCTCCGGTAGTGTTTTATTTTCTAACAAAAATTCTCAAAAATCCAAGAAAGACAGCTTTTTGCTTATCATGCTATAGTGCTTTAGAAAGTTCAATTTCAGAGCATACATTTCTCTCACTAGCACTTGATCCCAGACGTTTTCTTATTACTTTGATCCTTTTTGACACGTCTAATATATTGTTTGTCCAAGTTGATTATTTATGACTTTAATTATAAAAAAGCCGCCTAGTACCCACTACGTTATCTCTTTAATACTTTCTTTTCCGCCTATTGTCTGAACAGGAAAGAGTGAAAGAGAGAGGGAGAGAGAAGGGTGAAACAAGCAAGGTACGGTATTTTCTCTCGTTTTGTATGCAAAACATCTGTTTTGCAAAGACGGCGATGTCTTGGAACAGAGAATTTGAAGTACATAGCATTTTATCGTTTTTCCAGGCCAGGTAATTTCAGTTTGATATATCAGTTCGTATCGATACAGAGGTAAACCCACTTTTTTCTTTGTTATATAAAAAGTATGGGGTTGTAAAGAATTTTGCAATTCTTCTAATTAATTATAAAAAATGGCGGATGGAAGGGGCAGTTTTGGGGTGCGTTCATAGTGCACGATAGCTTCAGCTATCGGATACGCTATTTTATCTTGAAAAAAGAAACAGCGATAGATCAAGAAATGCCCAAAAGAGGAGAAAATCCGCGGCGTTGTAAAAGCACATTTTTTAGATTATATACGCGCAGAACTTGCAGAAACTCGAGTTGAAAATCGTTTGTACCCTTTGTATTGATTATGAAGCTACATTCGACTACAACCTGCTCCGGTAAATGTGGCCTTCCCAAGCAAGAAATAGACCTGACACATGATGAAAATATCGTTAATTGGCAGCTACTTATGATGAAGATAAATGAATTAATTTACTGTAGTTTTCAATTTCTATTCGCAGAACTTTCCTTACATCCTAATACGAGAACCCTTAGGTAATCTCGATACCTCACTAGATCAATGCATACTTGTACATACTAATCAGTCGTGCAGATAGAGCGACCTTACTCTGTCGAGATGGGGTTCAAAATGTCAGATTTTCCAATACGTTGCGTCCAATTTGATTTTTAAACGCAGTAAGTCGTGCACTTCTCAATTCTAGATAGGTTTTAGAAAGCCATAAATCCCGCTGTTATTCCTACAAAAGTAGTTGTATACTACAAACTTGACTGTATGAGCGTAAAATTTCAGATTCGTACAAGCTCTAGTTCTCGAGAGAAGGGGAATTATTAGGTTGTCCCAAAAGTAAACTCCATTTCCAAATAAGTCGAGCTTTCTTGTTCTCCTAACAGACTTAAGGTACTATTCGATAGAGCGGAGCAAGCTCTACAAAAAGACCTCCAAAGATCCACCTAAGTCGTAATCCACATAAAACTTGGGGCAAAAATCAAGTTTTTTCAGCTACCCTAAAAATCGGATCTCCTTCCAGAGAGTTCCTACGGACTTCCAACCTGGTCTTTATATAGTAGACATATAGTATATCCAAAAATGTACTTATTTGGCGGATTTTTTTCGAGGCTTTCGAGAAAAAAAAAGATGGTCCGAAAATGCCAAAATGCCACTTTTCTCGGTTTTTTTACATGTAAAACTTTTTCTCGATTATAAGAGCACATACAGGGTAAGTTTTCGAAATTTTACTTAGTAAGGCTTGTAGGTATACAATGACATATATCGGAGAGGCTGGGGGCGGAGCTTGTCATTTTTGGGCAATTTTTGTTTCTCGTTTTCTATGCTTGGAAAAAATTCGGTGAAGGCATATTTGAGTACTACTATGTGCCTACTATCTAATGAACAAGTTGGAGGCCTGTAGGATTCTTTATCGCAAAAATCCAATTTTCAGGCGACAAAATTTTTTCCGATTTTGGCTTCAAACTTTCCACGGAATGCGGCTCAGGTGGATCCTTGGCAGTTATTTTGTAGAGCTTGATCTGCCTTAGCGAATGATACCCTAAGTTTACTGGGAAAACAAAAACAGCTTGAATTATTTGAAAAAGGAGTTCACTTTTGGGACAACCTTCTTAAAATCCCCAGAAAATCTCATTTCACGACGTATGGGCAAGGTCAAACGTCCTATTCATAGGACCGTCACTTCCGCGATCCGTGCGCAAAACGCTTACTTTGTGGCTGGAAATCTGCTTTGTCATTTTTGTAAACAAGCTGGTATTCTCTTAGGTGATGAGCGAGAGACTAGACAATATAGTATCAGGTAGGGCTAGTCTGTAGGGTTTAGCAAATATGGAAAGATAACATACACACGTTTACACACGTTTTTCTGGGCCGTTCAATTGTCAATGTGCGTCATCTTTGCAATCATCGGCATTCCAACGAAGAATAGTTCTTCACCAAATTTCAAATTATTTTTAGTTTTCTGTATTCAGTTCTATACGATGCACATAAAAAAACAAGTTAGGCACCGGAATGTCTACATGTTAGAGAGCCAAAATACGTTTCCAGAATACGTTCTGAAAAAATTTTAGAAGAGGAGAAACACAAGAAGGTACAGATAAAAAACCAGATGATAATTGAAAATTCAAGTGCTCTTACAAAACTGCTGTAAAGTTGTTGGTCATTAGTGCACTTGCGACATCAATCATGTTGGTGGGTAGACCCTGCTATGTCGTAAGTGTGTCGCAAATCTAGAGTTTTCAAAAAGTCGAAATCTCCTAGAAAAAATGGAACAATTGTGACAGAAATTATCCGGCAACCTACTAAATTGTACAGGGTGTCCCAAAAAATGTTTCGAACGTTTGACCGTTAATATCTCTCTTCCCTAGAAGTCTTTTGCCTTGCTTCAGGTACCGTTTTGTAGAGCTGGCTTCAACTTAGATTTCCATTATAGAACGACTCACCCATCTCTCTTCATTACTGTAGGATTACGGTAGAAACTTGAAACATATGGTGTCAATGTGGAAAAAGCTGCCGTCTCAAAATTTTTCAAAAAATTGTGAAAACTAATAGGGTTTTTATAGACGCTGAGTTCAATGCTCAACTATTCACAAGATTACGAAGCTTTCTAAACGGTGTAATCGCACTTTTTAGGAACATTGAAAAAAAGGCCGCTACCTCTCACCTGGCATAATTCTTCAATGAAGCATCATAATAAGTTGGGAACTTTACAGTTATAATCAGCAATTCTAATTAGCCTGGTGTAAAAGTTTTCAGGCTGTTTTGTTTCCTTTCTGAGGCAAAATATGGCCTTTCATGGTTCAAAACCCTCTTTGAAGTTTCTACCGTAACCCTACAGTAATAAAGAGAGATGGGTGATTCGTTCTATAATGGAAATCTGAGCTGAAGCCAGCTCTACAAAACGGTACCTGAAGCAAGGCAGAAGACTTCTTGGGAAGAGAGATATTAACGATCAAACGTTCTAAACATTTTTTTGGGACACCCTGTATGTTTTCCTAAGCAAAATTGTTTCCTTTGTTCCAGCTTGGAATGAAACAACACTACAACCTCGGGAAACAAATTAGACGGCGCTACGTTGACACAAAATTCTTGTCAAAGAGGTACTCGGCAAGGGAGGTAATGTGAGGTTCTGCATTTTGATAAATGATCCAAACTTAAGCTAGCTATTTTGACTGATCGGATTGGCTGGATAGCCACATGCATGTGTGCACGCAAATAATGGGTGCCTCCATATCCACCTGGACAGTTAACGTTCAGAAAAAGTTCATTCTTACTCATCATGTCGCTGAAAGTGGATACACCAGCATGTACGGTACCAGCAGCGGGAGGCACATCAACGCACTCACTAACGTGGCGGCGAGGCGAAGATAATCATCAAAGTGAAGTGCACGAACCATACCGAATACCGCATGAATCCCGTATATTCGTTCGTTGAGCGGGTGGGAGATCGATCTAGTAGTCACGCGACTGGAAATTCCAGCAATGGAGGACAAAGCGGTGATACAATGCGACCCAGCTCCGGCGGAGGCCACAGATCCAGCTACGGCTTGGTCGTCAATTCCTCCAGATCAAATCCAGTCTGTCACTCTGCGGCTACTGCGTGATCAGTATTCGGCGTCGAGAAATGTGTTTCTCCTGAAGAGAAAATTCAGCAACGTTGCTGTCTAGCTGTGCGCTGCATTATTTTTGTATTCGACGCCGAAATAAAAAGTTTTGATGAGAAAGAAAAAAAGAGACAGACAAGTAAAGAGTGAAAGCGTTCTTGCTTAATTGACGCCATCGCTCTTGAAGACGCCCTTATCTATGCATACTCGCTGAGAAGAGATTTTTTTTCAGATATACGTTCGCTCAAGCGACTTTAATCGGACAATCAATTCGGCTATGTCGAACTTGATTGGCATGTATGGTTTCAACCACAATGACAGCGTCAAAGGAGTTGATTATCCAGATGTGAAGGGTTGGCCTGACGGTTATGTGCCTATAGCAGTGCACACCATTCCTCGTGGAATTGATTACGTAAGTATACACCTTGATGTTTATATGCCCATTTGTAAGTTTTAAAATTCATCTCAAAGCCAGTGTATAGGCTGTCCCGGCTCCATATTTGGCAGAAAAATTGCATCGGGTAGAATTGCAAGCTTTGCGCGAGGACTGAGCTCCGTGCAAGTCAGTAAACCTATGCTCGTCCGTCCGATACTGTAACGGCTGGATTAGAGATTCTGCCGCAAGTGCACCTGTGCGCTGCCGCTGGGGCAGTATCCCATTAAGTGCTAAAATCAGTTTGCACGCTGTGTCCGTGTTCAGAGTTGCCTGGACGCTGCTTCTTAATGGCCCTAAACTTAACGCCCAATTGTAAAGCTCAAAAAGAGGAAAAGGCATTTCTATAGCCCTCCTGTACTTGGACGAGTTAGTAGTTTGCTTCAAGGTTAAAAGAGAAGGTAAAAGAGGTGTAGTGGAACCCTATGGCCTCCACTGCGACGGCATGCGCACTCTATTGCGTGGCAGAAAAGTCATTAGAAGGAGAAGCTCTCCCTTACGGCGTAAGTCGACTAGTTTCCAAATGAGTTCTCGCTTTCGGTCAAACGTTATGACTTCGCTGTTGATAGGTCGATAAAAAGGTGGAAGCGGCAGGAAAAAGGAAAAGCTAGAAAGATTGCATATGAAGACTCAGACATCATTTGCAGGCAGGAAGGATTAGAAACACTTCGCAAGGATACTTCAAAATACTAGGTTGATGCAAAAGTAACGGCCGATTTTCCAAGCCTTTTTTAGGGCAACTTTTTTCCATCAATACTTCTTCTTTACAATAAATGTAGTATACCGTCGCGAAGTTGTTTTCATGCTCTATCTAACGGTGTTTGAAATGGGCTCTCATCCTCATCTCTTATAAAGTTACTGAGCTTCAAATAACCGCTCCAAATTCAGAATTTTATTGCGTTCAATTCTCCGGCCAGAATTCAAGCGCGTATCAATGGAATTTCTTCGAAAATTTAGCTGTCGTATGTAATAGAAATTGTCTACTTTAGGCATACTTAATAATATTCTTTGAAGCTATCCATACTGAGATATCGGCGCCTAAACATGGGTAGCTGTTGCGATCATTGTATGAACCATAATTTTCTTCTGAAGAAGTCATTCGCCGAAGCTTTGCTCAGTTCTGTAAGCGTAGGGCTAGGACATTTATTAGCAGTTTTTGCAAAAACATCCATGTGTTCTGTACGTAGAAAATCAGAAAATACTAATCCGGACTTCAATGCACACTGAAAAATGTTGAAAAAACTGAGAAATTTTAAATTTCAATTTTTTTTCTTTCTCGTAAACTTTTTTGTGCGAATTCTTTTCATTGTATTTTGTACTACTGGCTTACGGCTACAAGATAGGCCACTTGCCATTCACAGTAAGAAACTTTGAAGGAAGTTATGAATTGTCAAAACAAGGTTCTAGCAGAAGAACCTTTTTTGTCTTTTAGTCCTTATTTCTCTTCCCGTTTATGGTTTGAGTATAAATAAGTATGCGCTATATTGCGAAAGGTTTGCTTCTTCTGGGGTCTTTACTGCATTCAGAAATGTAGATCTTTTAGAAAGTTATAGCACGTCAAAGTGAGAACTCGCAAATCGGCCATTACTTTTGCATCAACCTAAAAATTTCGCGAATTGAAGAGTGGACGTGCAAAATTTTACGATTTTTGCCACCCATCAAAACGACCCGTGTTTGAGTCATTGCTCAAGTGTGGTGGTACATCATGGCGATGACAAGGTGAGAATCGCACATAAATTGTAGAATTCAGTATATTAGGTTGAACACTAAGTTTTGCAACTTTTCTCATAACTTCCCTCTCACTCAACATGGTGCACTCAAATTTTGGTTATTATGTACCAGTGCGTCACCTCTGCTTCGCAGAGGCTCGCACTGGCCCCACTGTCTGTACGCCTTACTATTTCCCGCACATTAATGACATTGAAACTCACCGCGCTATGCGGACTATCACGAATAATTTGTAAACAACTATTCATTTCAAAAGCTTTTCCATATTAGATCGGTAACTTCGCGTGAATGAAACTTTTTCCAAAAAAACAAATGCAGGTTTGGATTGGTTTTCGGACTTTCCATGGCTTCGTTTTCGCCGTAAGATACAGTAATTACCGTGGGCTACAACTCTGTGCAAAAATCTTCTCAAATGATAAGGCAAAATCTTGGCAAATTGAACATTTACGCAACCAATCCTTTTTGGCGCCGTTTTCGCAAAGAATGAACTTTTGCTCGATTTTTTTTGGTTTAAGTCCTTGGCTTGCACATTAACTTGTCAAACATATCAGCGACTTTGCACAATGTTGTGCTACAGGCTCAATTTTACTGGCCAAAAGCCAAGTGGATCCGATCGCCGCGCATTTTTTGAGGGGTCCACACAACGGATACGTTCGCGCTTTTGTATATTAGACTCTTATGTTGGTAGCATGCGCTGTGCAAAATTTGGGCTCAGGAGGTTGGCTGGAACACGTTCTACGAATTTCGTGACAGACAGATTTACAGACAGACACACACACAAAAAAACAGACCCCTTAGCGCGTTATTATAGTAAGATACTACAAGCGCAGCTGCTGTCCTACCAAATTCTGACGTCGCAGTGAGGGTTACGGTAGGTGTATGGTATGAAGGGGAAAAATTCAAAGTTTGACGGATTTGGCTGAAACTTGGCATAGGGATGTTATCCGACATGCTGATCACGAAAGCGATAGTGAAATTGCGTGATAAGGGTTTTTTTGAAGGATTACTGTAGATGTACGACATGGGGTCTCACCCTAGACAAGGAAAAGGCGTTGATTCAACAAATGAATATGATATTCGCATTCGGCAGGTCAAATAACCTTACTATGTGAAGTCTCGTCGGAATTTGAGCTTCGGACTCTTTAGTCATTGACGGTCGTCCCCAGCAGCTCTTGCGTACATCGACTCGTTCGACTTTATGAGGACGCCAAATCTCGACATGCCCATAAATTTTGTTTCTTTCTTGCTAGGCCAAAGGAGACAACCTCTTGCAATAATTTGTAGACGAATCCGGATTACTGCGCATGGTCTAGGCTGCCAAAGGCTTCATTTTAGCTTGAAACCTCAAAAATTCTCAAATTTTACTACTTTTCGAAAAATGCCTGAAACTTTTCTATTTCGTGTTCAAAATTTAGACAATTTGTGCTCACTTGTAGCTCACATTGCATTCTACATGATGCCAAAGTTTGAGTGCGTCATGTTGAATGAGAGTGAAGTTATGAGAAAAGTTGCAAAATTTAGTGTTCAACCTAATATTAGCTACCAAATAACGAGCCATCAATCTCTGCCTGAGACCCGTGCGGCAAATTACAGCCTCTGCATAAGACCTTATACTTACAAGGGAATGGTCAGAAATCGAAGTGGCCAATTCAAGCAAGCTGCACACCATTCGATGCAGCATAGAATGCTGATTTCAGATCTGTCTTCCTTATCTGCAGAGCGCTTTTGTAGGCGAAGTTATAAGCCGTTGAATGTCATCATTTTGCTAAGAAATTGTGCGTGTAAAGGTCAAACTTGGCCAGACAAAGCCATTCTCGGCTCAGTGTTGGACCAAAACGTGTAACTAGGTCAGTTCATATGGCTCGTACAGGTGAGCTAAAAGAGCAGTGATCTGCCTAATTTCGCAGTTTTTGTGGACGATTTTTTCGCAGTAAAGCTGCTCATAACTTCGCCCACAAAGGCGCTCTGCAGATACGGAAGACACATTTGAAATCAGCATTCTATGCTGCATCGATTGGTATGCAGCTTGTATGGATTGGCCACTTCGACTTCTGACCATTCCCTTGTTAGGGCCATAACACATCTCTGCCGAAGACAACAGGCCATAATCCTTCAAACTCTAAAAACGCAAATCTTGCATCTTGCGTCATAGCGTCCTGACAAATCGAGGTGTCTTATATTGTCAATACTCTTCATGAAGTTTCAACCTGGAAAGTCAGTAACGAAACAAGAGCATTTTCTAAAATCGCGTGCAACCCGGAGAAGGCGAAACATTCCAAGTGGAGTAGCGAGACCGCATCGCCACTGGCTCAGCGAGATAGATTAGAATGAAGAAACGCCGACTGCAAAGAGGTGCGAATCTTGCGAAGCCGACTCCCGCTATCTAATTTCCGCCTAAACTGAGTTGAAACTCACTGTGGTCGTAAATATCTGTTTGATCGGCAAGGCATCTCTAAGCTCCCACAAGATTTTGGCGCTACCCCGTATGGTTGTTGGCCGCGCGTTAACGAAACTTCCGCAACTGTATTAGTCGTTAAGATTATTAACAAGTTTGAAATCACCTAGAACCAGTAGATGCCTGCCGTGGGAAACAATGCGCGCATATATCTCGCTTGTCAACACTTGCAGCACTTTGAAGCACATCTTAAGGACAACCATTCCTTACGTTTCTGTGATTGTCATCATCAGATTTGAGCGTGCGATCAAGCGCGTATAGGATAAGAGAAGGGGAGGAAAGTCGTGAAGAAGCGAATTTTATGAAATCAGACAGTACTAAGCTCAAGCAAAGTGAAGAACAAGAGTGCTAGATAAACGATCGCTGAATCAAATTTTCAGTACTTCCCAGCGTCTGAAAGCGTACCTCAAGCATGATTAAGTTAGCTGCAGAAATGAGAAAGTCAACGTTTACTTACACTCTCAACAAAGCAATAACTTTTACTAAACTGTGCTAAGAATGTCATTTTGAATCGTTCCCAAATAGTGGATTTATAAGTGCGTCCTATAACGCTAGACACTGCGTATTCCAAATCGATTGCTTCGCTGCATGGAATACCACAAAACAAGAAATAAAATAATGTGTAAGATGAAGCTCATAAACGACATGAAACTTTTGGAAAAGATTCTCTGATGATAACGTCAATGGAAGGAGGTACCAGAGCTATGCTTGCCAGGGATGCACTTAAGTTACCTAGAGTAACAAGCTTGAAACCTAACAGCAGCAGCTCGGCTCTAAGCCCTCCTTTTTTTGAGGA